TAAATACTGCCATTCATCAACAAAGCGGGTAATGGAGCGAAAAATTGCTCCAACTTGCGGAAAACAAGTCAAGGGAAAGTTAAACTAATAGACTATTTTCCTTGATGATTTGTATTCTTCTAAATGGCCGCGGCAATCTCATAATAAGATGTCTCCGCGTCGGAAATGATATCAAGTCATTAGACAGTATAAAGATATAACGTGATTAAATTACTCGCCAAGTTAGGCTGCTCTCTTGGGACTCTCTAGCAAGCTTCTCGGGAGCTAATTTTCCACTCCATTGAGAGATTTCTTTATATTGATGTTAAGGCGAAGGGTTTTTACAATGATTAAATGGAGCCGCGGACTTGGCGTTCACAATTCGCTGTGTGGCACGCTGCAGAGCAATGAATTAATCATAGCGATCTTCCAAGTGATATAAATCAGTGATAAGTGGCGGCAAATAATTGAGTAATAGTCACCGCGATTTGCTGATAAACCTAATTTGCCTCTGAGAAGAGGGAGGGGGTTAGAACAGCCGACGTCTAGGGATGCCGAGATTTGATTGGATATTTGCTTTGATCTCGCGGGATCTCTACCCCGTTAGGTGTCAGTAATGTCCAGTTAGAATTCTTCCCTTACTCCTCCCCCTGCCAATTACTCCCTGGCGCCCTTGTTCAGACTGGATTACTTTTATGAGAAAAGTTTTGTTTACTTTCACCAATAAATTGGCTAGGATTAAACATAATACGACCATATGTCTTGGAAGTAAAGTGTAGGTTTGAGTTACAGTCACGTGAGTCACAGTTTAAACTTGTCTATACACACATTTCGCTCTACTTCTGACATACACCACAAGTTATGTTTGTGTGTATGGGCCCGGCCGCTACCACCTTCATTTAGTACCTTCTATTCAGACACAACACTTGTGAATCGTAATCTATTGGCTTCATTGTCTTTGAGGTTTCTTTGTCTGAGTCCAGTAAAGTATTCAAGATAGGCAATAACGACTGCAATGCTTCTGGTGTTTGTGTCAGCGGTGATGTATGGTGAACCCTGGGCCGTGGTAAACACATATAGCACCTAGGTGTGTTATGTACACTCGTATGGAAGCTAGTTAGATATGCTACAACACCGACTTAATATTACCGTCGTCAAGAAGTGGTTCATCAACGTGATCGACAACGTCGTCCTGATATGAGCTGTAGTACACTACATTGTAGGATAGCCCTGTGTATATTTTCTGTACACTTATGTCCCTGGATTACACCATTTCCGGTATTATGTCACGACCATCGACAGATGATAACTGATAATCTATGCATAAGAACATATACACATAAGTTTGACTTTACTATACTATACATTCCTGCAAAGTTTTCGATCAATGTGTGTGTTCCAGCCGTAGATGTTTGGTAGAACGACTTTGGATGGTTTTAGAGTTCAAGGAGTATTTGAAATAATGTAGATAAGACTGCCAAACTATCAAGGTCCTCATTTGAAAAAGATCTGTCCAGTGTAATGTGAAACAATCCATTTCAACTCGTAATTTGACTACAGACTTCAAGTATTAATACAAATGTGGAACTACAGACCCTTCGTGAAATCGATTAACCAAGGGCCTACGGGTAGGTGCCTATTCCAAACAATCGTTATGGTAAACTGAACCTCGCTATATTGCAAGAAAAACACAACATTTGCGAAGACGTGAAAATACAGAACATTTCTGACTTATGTAAATATTTCCTTCCGACATTCAGTGAATAAATACCATCACCCCAACCACTACAACAACTTGCTCACCACCTCAATGACAAAAATGTCCACTAAGTCTCAAATCCCCTATCTCCATCCCTTCACTATGTTCCACCTACATACCCTCTAGTACCCTCCCTCTAAGCTCTCTCATGTCCTATTAGGTTTCCCTGAACACAGGGTTGCATTGTCCTCGCGAGCATGGTGCACGCGCGGCGCCAGTGGCATGTGATCCCCTCTGTCTACTGTCAACACCAGACACACGACATCGTAGTCCCCCTTCGGTTTCCCCTCGGTTCCTCCTCAGTTCCTCTCTTCACCAACACATCGCACCTATTGTTTTACGCACAACACTTAACACCTCTTTTAACTTCTAACGGCTCTTGTTTAATGTCACTGGTCAATGACATGTTGGAACTTTAAGATGGACTTGACAGAAATTATTGTCCTCTGTGTACGACTCATCTCCCTAGCCTGGCCATTTCTTGGCTTGAAGATCGTTTCCGCAGACTAAAAATCCAAAATAATACTTAAATACTTATTAAGAATTATATTTTGTTGTAAAAATGTCTCGTTGTAAAGGACAAACAGATTTCTTCCTTTCAGCTTATTGATTTACACTATGAGTTAGGGGAATTGAGACTGTATCAATAATACACTGTTTTAGAACATGATCTAAAAATATATTTATATATACTTTTAGGAACTTCGTAAAAAAACGATTGTTTCAGCAAATATTAATCGGTATAGAATACTACTTCTTCTGATACGCTTGTATGTATAAGTATTTAACTGTAATATAAAATATATCCTAATGATAAACTAACAATATCTATTTTGCTATTTTAAATGGAGAAGTCATTATACGTACATTCATATACATTTGTATATTATGTTATGTCAGGATATGAGAATGAATGTGTTTGGAATTTTTGGAAAAAGCATTCCTGGAACAGACCGTGTTAATATCAATCTAGGCTGTAATATAGATGACTATATTTGTTATATCTCATTACTTATGTTGAATATGGGGTTAATCACTCGTGACTATCACCATGACAAATATCAAACCAATACCACATTCAAACATACCACCACAAGAGAAAAGATAGGTTTTCCTGATGTGTTCATGAACAGATGTAAAGCCAGCCCTTTAATACCGAATGTTATATCCTCCCAGTCGTTGTTGTATACGTCGTTGAGAGATTAATCAACTCAATCAACTGTTAGTACTTGTTGAACATGTTGTATTCGCGTTGATAAATCCAGTCAATTGGCCATCGAGTCCCCCAGTCTTCTGCTGTGGAATGCCTACCCGCATGAAGTATTCCCATTCACTCCAGATTAACAGGCATCCTGTATTTGACAGCTCCAGTATAATGAGGCTTGATCCGCGAGTAATCAGCTACCTCGGGTATCAACATTGAGCACAGCAGTTTATTTCTATATCATACACGGCGTGGCAGTTTACGTGAAAGTAGATTACAAACAGGCTTTAGGAGCATGGGTGTGTGATGCCAATATGAAGCTGGAATTATATTAATTAAAACCCAAATTTTATAGTCAAGTAGCAATACTATTTTCAGTGAGAAACATGAACATTATTGTGTTTAAAAACCTACCAGCATTAAATCGGGCAACATAATCGACAATTAACTATTGGTTACAGGGTTGCTGATTATTTCAACAGTTTGCTGTGCGTGGAGTCTCTGTCATCATGTTATATGTCTTCTGGTTTTGTATTGCACCTTGGACTATTGTTAGGTTCTTGGGGGGTAACGAGTACTCAGAAACAGGTGGCCTTAATTTATCTGCAGATTTTCTGCAGGTTTTACGTCCTTTTACAACTCCATTCTAATATTATCAGATAAGTTGATTCAGCTATGTTTTTGTTTGTTTTTGTTTTGTTTGTTTGTTTTGTTTGTTTGTTTTGTTTTTTTGGGGAGCACATTTCTAACTACGTGCAAATATTAGTTGGACTAAGGCTAGTGCATGGAATACAGTTCCTTATTGCGTATCCTGAACACCTAACACCTAACGTTGGGTTTGTCCACCTGCAAATGACTGTCAATTAAATGGTAAATAGACGAAGAAGAAGAATTTTTTTATTTAGGTGTCACACAACGTACATGTAAATATAGATTGTTCACACTTTGGTACCAATTCCCAAACGTGGGTATGTAATAAACTGAAGCTGGAAAGGATAATGAATAATATTTGCAACGAACATCCGATTTGTACACATCACCATAATTAGTGTGTTATATATACCGCCATGTGTATGTAAATATTGGAATGGTGTGTTACCATGTTGTGAAATGCCTCTGTATCAGTCTCAACACTGACCTCAATGGCGATTTAGTGTATATGTCCAGGATGTGACGGGATATCCCGAAGGCAGCCTTGTTAACAGCTGTAAGTTATAGGGTAGCATTTAGTTCCGCATGTGTAATCATATACCACGAACTGCACAGATCGATGCTCTTGATGTCAATCACTAGAGATTATTATTTACAGACCGTTGCCAAGACGCCAGAATAATGTTAAGTGTGGCGTTAAGCAAATTATGCAAGCCATAGAAACAGAGCCAACAGAAAAAACAACAACCATTCTATAAGCATGACACGTTAATGTCTTCAATCATTTATTGCCCTGGGAGACTGTCAACAACCCTGGAATCCAGGTATATGGCTGGAGTATGGCTGTTATCATTGGTATGGGTAACTGATCATGATGTGGAAGGTGTTTTCAATGTTTGACCGTCATTCTGGAGAGTGTGTGCTTTATATTTGACGGGCTTGCCCGGACGGTGTCTTCTCTGTTTGACCAACATACTACTGACAGTGCGTCTTATGTTTGACCGATGTGTCGATTACGGTGTGTTCTATGTTTGACCGACATGTTGTGGGCGGTGTGTTCTATGTTTGACCGATGGGTTGATGATGGTGTGTTTAAAGTTGCAGACGTCGTTAAAGTTGCAGACGTCGTGTTCTATGTTTGACCAACATGTTGTGGATGGTGTGTTCTATGTTTGACCAACATTTTATTGACAGTGCGTCCAATGTTTGACCGATGGGTTAATGATGGTGTGTTTGTTCTATGTTTGACCAACATGTTGTGGGCGGTGTGTTTCTATGTTTGACCAACATGTTGTAGGCGGTATGTTCTATGTTTGACCAACATGCTGTTGGCGGTGTGTTCTATGTTTCACCAACATGTTGTGGACGGTGTGTTCTATGTTTGAACGACAGTGTGTTATGATGCAGGTGGTGGCCAGGGAGGCCTGGGGAAGACACGGAGGCCGAGGACGGCGTTCACGTCGCAGCAGTTGCTGGAGTTGGAAAGACAGTTCAAGCTCAACAAGTACCTGTCCAGACCTAAGAGATTCGAGGTGGCGACCTCCCTCATGCTTACAGAGACACAGGTGTGTATGCTTCGTATATATATATATACACACACACACAGAACTCTCTTCATGTAACACTAAACATAAAACAAAACAAATCACTTAAAATATGAGATAAAAGCACCAGGACATAATTAAAACGATTGTGTCAACATCATATAATGATATGAAAATTTCACCTGCATAGTCGGTTCTTATTTACGCCTAATCATTGTACGGGTAGGTGGCAGTGCTTGTCACTGAAGCTGAGTCAGCCTATCATAAACACTGTTTTGAAAGTGTTCAAATATATACACCGAAGTGGTGGGAAGATATTCATGGTCAGACAGAGAGGTATAGTTTATTATAGTGTCACAAGTCAAGTATACATTGTAAAAACATATTTAAAAGTCATAAGATATACTTCACAACCAGCCAAGTTTTGGCCTATGAGATACTTTACATACTAAAACTGTACACAGTAGACATAAATGTGTGTAAAAATAGCAATGGCACAGAGTTAAAATATCTAATAGATAATTGCAAGAATCATAAAAATAATTGCCTTCTTGGAACATCTATATATGTTATAGCATAATGACTTATGAAAACAGATTGAAAAATATAGCACACCCAAAACATTTTAAAGAGAGGAAAATAGTCCAAGCTATGAACAACAAATCAAATACAGTAATTAAATAAGAATATTAATATGTGGTACATACAATAATAAAACCAATTAACCAGGAACCATCTTTTAATATTACAAACCATTCCAAAACATTATTATTCAAATCGTTGGTCGGTCATGTAATAGGCCTTGAATCGATAGAGAACCGAACGGTCTTCATTGGTATCCGATTTGCACTTAATGACTGAGAGAAAAACGCACAATCAAAACACCGAAATACCTCGTAGGAATCTTAACATATTAACCGATTAAAATGCATAAAATGGGATTCAATAACACATCTCTTTATTAAAAATTCTTCGGTCTCCATCTACTATCTTCCCCTTGTACACAGACTGAGTGTCGGCTCAGAGACAACGGGCAGTCTGCGAACACACTGTAGTTAAATCACATTAAACACAATATTATTGGTTTTGTTGTCAATTTAAGTACGAAAGACTTTCTTATAATCATCTGATTTGCTTTTAATGCGTTTCTAAATCCTTCATCTCGCATATTATCGCGTGATTCTCGCGACGGAAGCACGTGGATTTAAGTCTGTGTTCGGCCTAACCGATAGCCAAGGGTTAAACTACGAAGGTTGAATATAGCATGGGAATAATACTGAGGACTTGATAACCTTTGTCTTGTTCTTGATAATAATTGTGAATACATATCTCGCCACAAGGCCGGTCGCCCTACCCTACAGACGGCACCTGTATCGCACAGAAGTGGGTGGGGAGAGGGGGAGAGGGGTATAAGGGCTTGTTACGTTACGTTGTTTGTAGTCACGAACAAGTCTATAGCCCTGTAGGTAGTGTTGGAGCAGGTTCAGACCAAGTGCCAGGTTCAGATCCACGCATTTGATTCACGATGCATTAAATTGCTCACTCATCAAAATCAACGTAATTGTACCATTCTCAAAGTTTGTGTATGTGTATGCAATATTTTAAACTCATAGTTTTACGTGTCACAAATTTTACTCACTGTTTGATTTTCATCGGGTTAAGACATATTAAATGTTAATTCTGTACAATATTAATGTACTATGCTGAAAGTATCAACTTAAAAAAAGATTTTCGGGAGGCAGATGAGTGTCTTCTTTAGATTCCGGTGCTAAAAGCAATCAAGCACCTCGCTTGTAAATGTCATTTAATGGAATTTCAAGCGCACCTCACTGCCAACAAGTCAACATCCCTCAAAAGACTTTGACTAAGTTGGCAAACTTCTCATTGACTGGCGAGTCCCGATCAAACTGTATGTGTGTAGAAGCGTTTAGCTATGTGTATATGGCCTTTTAACTTTATACTGCCAGAAGCAACTGGGCCAATTAGATCAACTTTAGTCGCCCACTGTCAAATTTGGCGGGAACAATGGGCCTCGGTGTTTGGCTGGAGAGGTCGAGCGCGGAGTCACGGAGGATAATAGAGATATAAGCGCGTGTAAATGATGCCCCGCTCCGTGGGTCGGGCGCCAGGGGGGGATACAGGGACAGGCACGTCTCGCAACAAGGGGAATTTACCCTGCAAACATGGCCGGTACGAAGGCACACGAAATCGGAAACAATATCAACCATTGTTCTGAAGAGTATCCAAATCACGTGTTATCCTGTACTACTGCGGTTGTTTCCCTTAGATGACCACGAAGGGTTTAGTTCCTGAAAATCAGCTGGAAATGAGTTGGTTAACTGAAATGCCTGCTGTTTTTGCACTGTTTGAAGACGTATTGTCTCTGTCGATCGGAGCCGTATCATGTTTTAACGCGTATGTCGCAAATGACATGTTTTGAAAATGATAATCTCCAGGAAATATCTCATTGCATGATAAAATGATGAAACGAAGGATGATATTTGTTGGATTATGTTCAACATAATCTGGACACTTTAACAAACAAACCAATCTTTCTTCCTTTGTTCCTGATCCGAGACAATGGATAGTCTGATTCAGGTTGAAGAGCGCGTGCGCACGAGAGAGGGTTAATATTTCCCTATCAACATAGCCACTGAACACTGTTGTCTATTTTGACGTTTTTTGCAAGTTTTCAAATTTGTTCGCCACAGGCACGAGTGTAAGAGGCCTGGCCAACAAGGGATAGCAAACACTGGGGGCCATTACCTTGATAATAGAGCGGCTGAAAGTCTTAGGAAAACAACAAATAGAGATGCAAGTTTGCCAAAAACGACACCTCCCTACGCGTGGCACGAGCAGAACAATGGTGGCGTTGTGCTTCGGTCATCGTCTCGTATTTTTCTACATTATGAACAATATCCCTCAGAAATCAAGTCACAAACAATATTGTGGACAAACTAACACAGAGAGAGCTCCATTGGAATGACAGGTTGAAGTGTTCACATTGTTAGTTGGAGCTAGCGAAGCAGTTAGTCTGTGTGTGGCATGACGCGCTGCTGCAAGTATGTTTACACGGTGGGGAATCAGGGGGACGCACCGAGAAATTATTCACAAACCCATTGGTGAAACATTTTGATCCTGCTTACGAAATTATTTCGAGATCAAAAGAGTTCTCATGCAAATTGCAGGCGTTTCTATACAAACTCGGAAAAAAAGAAGAGAACGACAGGATGATTGCTAAATGACGTGGCAGATCATAGGTGATTATGATAAGATTCAGGGATGAAATTTTGATCAATTTTGACGATTTGGGAAAGTTTGATGAGTTAACCAAACAGACAGAGACGCTCTCGCGACACCAACCTGCGTGCCGGGATACGGATGCTATTGGGATGGTTAATTAAGTACAACATAACACTAGTGAGGAAATATTTACAATGCGCAAATTAATTTACTAATTGGTTATAGGCGTCTTCGCTCAATCAGATTTTTGCTCAATGGGCAATTAATTAGTGCTGCAGATCTGAGGAGGAATGGAAGTTCGCTGTAATACCCATCTCGCCGTGCCCTCACCGACGATCAAATTTCAATTAATGAAAACCCAGCCCTTATTGGAGTCGTTGCTCCATTGCTTGAATTAGGGGCAGTCAATTTCACCCGGTAAACAAATTATATCCTGTTCACAGAATCGTTTCCTTTTGGCACTTTGACGGATCCAAAACCTGAAAGAGCTCCATCATTTGGGGATGATTAGATGGTGCTCTTTCTCCGCCATAGAGCAGCCAAACTGGTAAATCTTCCTCTGAACAGACAAGGAGCGATGCTTATTGATAAAGATGACTATTTCAGTTGTTTGAACGCGAATAATCATTCATCTTATGAAGATCTCATAGAATGGAAATCGTGTACGTCATTACGGGGTTAATGGTGGGCGAGACAATAATGAATAGCTATTGTCTAAGACCAATAGTATCTGTCATATATCGCCTATCGAGCGACGCGGCCATATACGTTGTCAACATATACTAATTTCACTTTTAAGCAAACTAGTACTGATTTTTATATGACTTTGAACAGAACGTATATATATATATATGTATATCAATCCCACATGCATGTATATCATTTCCACATTATACACGTGTACGAGTATATCATTTCTACATACAGACATGTATATCATTTCTACATACAGACATGTATATCATTTCCACATATACACGTGTACGAGTATATCATTTCTACATACAGACATATGTCATTTCCACATTATACACGTGTACGAGTATATCATTTCTACATACAGACATGTATATCATTTCTACATACAGACATGTATATCATTTCCACATACATACATGTATATCATTTCCACATACATACATGTATATCATTTCCACATACATACATGTATTTCATTTCCACATTATACACGTGTACGAGTATAGATCATTTCTACGTACAGACATGTATATCATTTCCACATTATACCCGTGTACCAGTATACCATTTCTACATACAGACATATATACCATTTCTACATTCAGACATGTATATCATTTCCACATACATACATCTCTAAAGGAGTCGCAGAATACCCGTTTCTTTCATATTGTCAACTCAATCTGTCATTTCTTTTATCGTTTTGTTATGCCATGACAAATTAACTATAGTGCAATAAAGGAATTATGTCTTCGTAAACCTCTTGGGAGTAGTATAAAGAAATATGTGTTGATAACAGGCAATACCTGATGCCATGTCTGCTAAGTTATCCTCTCTGTATAACCATCTCTTTTTATGACCATCTGAATATTCTGGCTTCACAAATCGCTCATATGCAACATCGCATGTCTGGAAAACAAGAAATGATAATAAGAAAAATGTTTATTTAAGTGTCACAAATACATGTATGACAAAACAATATTCATACAATATGTACAGTGGGGGGTCATTTGCCCATTAGACAGAGCATGCATATAAATATGAATTAAATAACACGATTTATAAATTGATTGAAATATAGACTCAGGTGGTTAACAATTAATTCTTCAAAGATAAGGTTCGGTTACAATGAAAGCTTTTGCTTTCTTCTCTGAAACATTTTTTGAGCCCGTTCTGTCAGTGGTAGCGCGCCCATATTGTATGCTCCAGTTAGAGATAGAGGAGCGGCAAACCTTGTAATCTGCTACTGATTAATCGCTCTGATCCCCTATATGATGCATTTAAATGGATTACTTCAAGGCTTAGGCAATTGATAAAATCCTCAAGGTGTTAAATACCATACCCAGCCGTCACATGTTAATCAAAATCTCTTGTATACATGGTTTAACAACAAGGGCGAGGTAGATTATTAGAGGTTGTGGAGAAACGGTAGCTAACACCGGTGATGTCTTCCCAGTCGCAGGTTGTAATCTCAGTGCTAACTCCGGCACATATGGCCACCGATGTCGTGCCTCTCGTCTATAGCATGTGGCATGCCTTATCTCGGCTACAAGGGCTAAGGAGAGAAATTACACTCTTAATTGGATTAATTAAAACCCGCAACAGTTAAGATTGCTAGTTTATCGTGTAGGATTAGCGCCTTAGTTTGCTTTTTGACAAGCGGTACCCCGACAACGCACGGCGGGTAAGCAGAGGTAACACCCACAATAATAGATTCTTACCAGGCCTGGGATATCTCCCTGGTTCAAGCACGGAGAGAAAGCCGATCTGTCTGATAGACACCCGCTCCTTGCCGCACACCTGTGCAGCGGCACCCAGCCTGATACCCACAACTGGCTACAGCTGATGGCTGCTATCATCGGGTTGTTAGAATTAGCGAATGTCACAAATTGTGGACAATTAACGATAAATGGGCCTATTCGCCGATACAAGGCATTACGTGTAAGCCCTAACTAAATAACTGGGCAGACTTTCAACAAAAGCTCGGGCCCAATAAAGGATATATGCTTGTCCATGTGTTGAATAGAAGCTTATATTATGAACCCTCATACCTGTAGGTCGCCGAGTTTCCACACTCAACCCGATTTCGCTCACCCGGGGAATAAATCGCACGTTGATAATGTCTCCGTTAACACTCGCCACAGTAGGTCGAGGGGAAGGTGGCGGGTTATCACTCAATCTCACACCTTTAGGGAGGCGTTGTCACACCTTAATAGAGGTGTGAAATTTCAGTAGAACAAACCAGTGCTTATTTCGCAAATGAAGGCAACATTTAGATAAATTACTCGACATTTTTGCCTTGATTGTTTACTGACGTTTAGAATCAGATTTATTGGTTAGGGTTAGTGGTTGAAACGTACTAGGGGTGTAGGTTTAATGGCCTCAACTATGTGAGCGTGGTATGGCGAGACTCGCATGTCGCAACCCTGGCATCTCGTTTATAGAAATACACAATATTAATGTGCGCCTATAATCCCCGACACAAGTTAGCTTCAGACTCGGACACATGTTGGCTACAGACACAGACACATGTTGGCTACAGACACAGACACATGTTGGCTACAGAGTTAGACACACGTTGGCTACAGATTCACACACATGTCGACTACAGTCTCGGACACATGTTGGCTACAAACACAGACACATGTTAGCTACAGATTCAGACACACGTTGGCTACAGACACAAACAAATGTTGGCTACAGACACGGACAAATATTGGCTACAGACACAGACAAATATTGGCTACAGTGTCAGACACATTTTGGCTACAGACTCTGACACACATTGGCTACAGACACAAACAAATGTTGGCTACAGACACGGACAAATATTGGCTACAGACACAGACAAATATTGGCTACAGTGTCAGACACATACTGGCTACAGACTCGGACACATGTCGGCTACAGTGTCGGACACATGTTGGCTACAGACCCGGACACTTATTGGCTACAGACCCGGACACATTTTGCTACAGATTCAGACACACGTTGGCTACAGACTCTGGAACATGTTGGCTACAGACACAGACACATGTTGGCTACAGATTCAGACGCACGTTGGCTACAGACTCGGACACATATTGGCTACAGACCCGGAAACACTTTGGCTACAGACCCGGACACATATTGGCTACAGACTCGGACACATATTGGCTACAGACCTGGACACATGTTGGCTACAGACACAGACACATGTTGGCTACACATTCAGACACACGTTGGCTACATACTCGGACACATTTTGGCTACAGACTCGGACACATGTTTGCTACAGACACAGACACATGTTGGCTACAGACTCCGAAACAGATTGGCTACACACTCAGACCCGTGTTGGCTACAGACTCGGGACAAAAAAGGGACCGATGGAATATTTGCACTTGGTTTTGAAAACGTATAATTGTGTCCAGTGAAAAAGAATGAATGTTTTATTAACCCCAACACCCCAACGCCCCAGTCCTCATTACCACCGACGACAAAGTAAGCTTTTAAGAAGAACACAAAACACACATTTTATTAAAAAAATAACTTCTGATAGATAACAAAACGTGTGATGCAAGAAATACATAAATGTCAATATAATTAAGTGATTTTAAATGTACTTCATTTATATTCTTTGAACGAGTGAAATCACAATGAATGAGCTGTCTGTCCTTTAGATACGTATTCCTGACATCTATAGGCATGGAAGGAGAACAGGAAAATGAGATATATCGTTCTTTGTTGATACTGAGGTTTTGATCAAGTAACTTTAATATGTATTAAAATATATGTATTTACAACTCGTTTCATGACGTACAAGCTAAAATGTTACGCTCAACGTTCATGGAGGTGAATGGATAACGTAAGACAAAACCCCAGAGATACGTTGGGTGTAAAAAGTGCAATCTAGGAGCATGGATATTATATAATCTGGCTGATTCAAGATGATGAAGATTCTAAAGCCATTCCTGTCGCTATAAAGGGACGCCAATCTTGAAAATGAATTACGGCTTTAAAGAATTCTCCGCACATCTATTTTTGTAATGGTAAATTCTGAAAATAATTTAGATATATAATACAGTGTTTTGTGTTGCAGGTAAAGATCTGGTTCCAGAACCGGCGCATGAAGTGGAAACGGAGCAAGAAGGCCGCCATGGAGGCCAAGAGCGGGAAGGAGGAGGACAAGGCGAGGTTAGATGGGGCAGATACACGTACAGATGCACACAAGCAGTCGGACGCCGGGGACGACATGAACGGTGATAACATTGACGTTACGGAAGTGGATATGGATGATTCCGCTGAGACGGAAATAGACGACAACGAGGACAGTGATAACGAAATGTGTGTGTCCCAGAATTCCACAAACTCTGACCTTGTTTCCGGTGTGTCAATACCAACGTCAAATGGCCGCTGTTCTGTAGTTCAGCCTGCACATGCCTGATGTAGATGGATGCAATGCGAATTCGTTTTCTTTGAAGATCATGACTGATGCCATGATAAAGAGAGACGCTGCAATATCTCCCTGGAATCTTCATGGACTACACGCATTGTCTTCACACGAGGACCCATATTGTTCCATGACAAAGTGAATCTCACAGAAACGCTATGACACAAGGTTGCAGTGTGTAACTCAGGTCTGACAGACACAAGTACACGTGTAGATGATTACACAGGCCGTGCTGACGTTACCATCGCTCAGACAGCAACACATACAGCGGGAGGTGTGTGAACTGGACCACGTGAACTAAAGAATCAAGAATAAGTACAAGTAACAGTATACTGTGGATCAGGACATGGTACGGTATCACAAGGAACCGTGTCGTCTGTGGAACAGGTCAAGAGGGCGTCAGCAAACGCAGTGGTGGCATGTGTGGATCCGGTCAAGATGACGTCAGCAAACGCAGTGGTGGACTGTGTGGATCCGGTCAAGATGACGTCAACAAACGCAGTGGTGGCTTATGTGGATCCGGTCAAGATGACGTCAGCAAAACGCAGTGGTGGCCTGTGTGGATCCGGTCAAGATGACGTCAGCAAACGCAGTGGTGGCCTGTGTGGATCCGGTCAAGATGACGTCAGCAAACGCAGTGGTGGCCTATGTGGATCCGGTCAAGATGACGTTAGCACAAGGAGCCGTGTCGTCTGTGGATCAGGTCAAAATGACGTTAGCAAACGCAATGGTGACCTGTGTGGATCAAGGCAAGATGACGTTAGTACCAGCGATTATGTCGAATGTGCATATGAAATGTAGGATCTAACAGAGTAAGCAAACCCTTAAGTATTGACCTTGATTGTAGAAGGTTCATGATGACGCCAGTTGGAAAGCAATCCTTCGAGTGAGAGATGGTGAATACATCTTGAACGACTACTAATTATCAGTGCCAACGTGATGACGTCACCAAAATCAGTATTTCCTCCAGCCTGGCAGGCAATGTGTATTGTTTTTTATTGTAGCTTCTAAAACATTTTGTCATTTTCAACCACTTCACAAAGTCTTAAGATTGCAAGGTGTGGGTGATATATTCTCAGGGTTTAAGACACCTGTTGCATTTGAGCATCGACTAAGAGGTGAAACGTTCCGAACTATTGCCGTTTTTATGGGAAGTTCTTTTAAAATAAAGGGATAGAGGATTTACAAACAATTGTAGCATTAATGCCCCATGTATATATGATCTGAATGAATGAAGAGGGTGAGCTACGAACCCTCTCTCTGCTCGCTGTTGTTATCATGTGTATATTTTCCGATGCATGGCAGTCGGATATTATGTGTTAAATAAATTAATATGTAGAACTACGCTGTTGTTTGTGACTGAGTCTGTGGTCTGGCGAAAGCTATGCCACATCTTTTTGTTACAGCTGAATATTGTGGACACGTTGTCGTTCGTCACGCTGTAACCGAGGCACGTGCTCGAGAACCACATAGGTTACCAAAACATGGGTTACAATCCTGTTAAATCGGCATCAGGGGTTACGCTCCTGTTACATCGGTAGTACAGGTTACGCTCTTGTTACATCAATAGTACAGGTTACACTCATGTTACATCGGTAGTACAGGTTACACGCTTGCTACATCGGTAGTACAGGTGACACTCTTGTTACATCAGTAGTACAGGTTACACTCTTGTTACATCGGTAGTACAGGTTACACTCCTGTTACATCGGTAGTACAGGTTACACTCTTGTTACATCGGTAGTACAGGTTACGCTCTTGTTACATCAGTAGTACAGGTTACACTCCTGTTACATCAGTAGTACAGGTTACACTCATGTTACAACGGTAGTACAGGTTACACTCTTGTTACATCGGTAGTACAGGTTACACTCTTGTTACATCGGTAGTACAGGTTACACTCATGTTACATCGGTAGTACAGGTTACACTCATGTTACATCGGTAGTACAGGTTACACTCTTGTTACATCGGTAGTACAGGTTACACTCTTGTTACATCGGTAGTACAGGTTACACTCATGTTACATCGGTAGTACAGGTTACACTCTTGTTACATCGGTAGTACAGGTTACAGTACAGGTTACTCTTGTTACATCGGTAGTACAGGTTACACTCTTGTTACATCGGTAGTACAGGTTACATCTCTTGTTACATCGGTAGTACAGGTTACACTCTTGTTACATCGGTTACATCTTGTTACATCGGTAGTACAGGTTACACTCTTGTTACATCGGTAGTACAGGTTACACTCTTGTTACATCGGTAGTACAGGTTACACTCTTGTTACATCGGTAGTACAGGTTACACTCTTGTTACATCGGTAGTACAGGTTACACTCTTGTTACATCAGTAGTACAGGTTACACTCTTGTTACATCGGTAGTACAGGTTACACTCTTGTTACATCGGTAGTACAGGTTACACTCTTGTTACATCAGTAGTACAGGTTACACTCTTGTTACATCGGTAGTACAGGTTACACTCTTGTTACATCGGTAGTACAGGTTACACTCTTGTTACATCGGTAGTACAGGTTACTCTTGTTACATCGGTAGTACAGGTTACACTCTTGTTACATCAGTAGTACAGGTTACACTCTTGTTACATCAGTAGTACAGGTTACACTCTTGTTACATCAGTAGTACAGGTTACACTCTTGTTACATCAGTAGTACAGGTTACACTCTTGTTACATCAGTAGTACAGGTTACACTCTTGTTACATCGGTAGTACAGGTTACGCTCTTGTTACATCGGTAGTACAGGTTACGCTCTTGTTACATCGGTAGTACAGGTTATCGGGTACAGGTTACGCTCTTGTTACATCGGTAGTACAGGTTACGCTCTTGTTACATGTTACATCTCTTAGTACAGGTTACAGGTTACTCTTGTTACATCGGTAGTACAGGTTACACTCTTGTTACATCGGTAGTACAGGTTACACTCTTGTTACATCGGAGTACAGGTTACACTCTTGTTACATCAGTAGTACAGGTTACACTCTTGTTACATCAGTAGTACTCTTGTTACATCAGTAGTACAGGTTACGCTCTTGTTACATCAGTAGTACAGGTTACACTCTTGTTACATCGGTAGTACGGGTTATCTCCTGTTACATCGGTAGTGCATGTTACACTCCTGTTACATCGGTAGTACATGTTACACTCCTGTTACATCGTTAGTACGGGTTACACTCTTGTTACATCAGTAGTACGGGTTACACTCTTGTTACATCGGTAGTACGGGTTACACTCCTGTTACATCGGTAGTACGAGTTACACTCTTGTTACATCAGTAGTACGGGTTACACTCTTGTTACATCGGTAGTACAGTTACACTCTTGTTACACTAGTACTTGTTACATCGGTAGTACAGGTTACACTCCTGTTACATCGGTAGTACAGGTTACACTCTTGTTACATCAGTAGTACAGGTTACACTCTTGTTACATCGGTAAAACAGGTTACGCTCCTGTTACATCAGTAGTACAGGTTACACTCCTGTTACATCGGTAGTACGGGTTACACTCCTGTTACATCGGTAGTACAGGTTACGCTCTTGTTACATCAGTATCGCGGATTGCACTCCTGTTACATCAGCATAACGGGTTACACTCCTGTTACATAGGCTTCACGGATTACGCTCCTGTTACATCAGCATAACGGCTTACACTCCTGTTACATCGCATCACGGGTTACACTGATCTTACACAAGTTACATTTATTCTCTTGATACAGATACAGCAATTATATTCACACAACTGACGTATGGTCAGCTATCGTTTAACTGTAATATACTATTCAGGTTTAAGAGTCGTTAAATTAAATTTCACTTCAGAATATTCATCAAAGTGCACCTGAGTCTGAAAAGATCACATGACTGATGTGCCAGTATAACTAAACTTAAAGGGCAGCTACAGCTCGACTTCAGGCCCCGATTTCTCGAAACAAACTTAGGTTTTTACTCAAATTTCAAACTGAGTTGGACAATTTGAAACAGATGAATTTTTAACTGAACTGCATTTTTTAAATAAAAAAGCCCAAACAACTTAAGTAATCTATCCACCAAACTCAAATTGTCTACTATGTTTGAGTTTAATATCGATTTTAGTTCATTCTGGGAAATGCATTTTCATTTTCGAACTTAAGTCGAAACTCAGACATAAGTTTGTTTCGAGAAATCGGGGCCAGGTAACATTGTACCAACATTTACTGTTTCAACCTATCGCATTCTGAAGTCAAGAAGATTATATCGTACTGCAATACAGATATATAGTCAAAGGATAATTCACTCTATCGTGACAATAAGTGCGAACTTAAAAAACCCCAATATCCCTTCTCTAAAGCTTCATGATCGTCACTTCCATGCCATACTCGTTCCAGTCCTGAAAACACCCCCCTTCTCGTCACGCGAACGCTCTTAAAAATGTATTTTCCGTCGTAAGATGTAGACCCAGTATATTTACCATTACTTAATCCTGTTCCTCATCCTCGTATCCAGTGTCATGGTCAGTAAAACATTAGTCTCTCCTATACCCTTCTCATGGAAAATATTACATGCGACATTTCATAAAATGACATTTATTACACCGACTGCATTTGAACTTTGAACTAAATCAAAGCAGGAACTATTCATTTTAGGGCCTAATAATTCAACCGAATCCAATGTAATCGAGATCAATAATTTCATAGTTTCCTAATATAACAGATTCGGTGTTTATTTAAGTAGTGTCGATATTTCCCTGATATTACACACCACTTGCACATAACATTAGATAACATTTGGCGACAATTTCCATCTATGCGGAATACCCTAAAGCAGGTTTTATTCTTTTTCAATAAAATCAAACTTCTTCAGACACATAACATCGTCATTTTACGCCACTTCTCCTTATTTTTGTATGCTTCTAATTCCATAAGAGTTTTTAGACGTCCATGGCTATTTGATTGTGGAATTTCTCCGATCTTGCACTGACCTCTAAAGTAGAAGACGGCACTTTTAAAGATATTTTCTTCGACACTTGCAGCTTCTCTGATCGTATCGACAGAATATTAGCCTACAAATTGCGATCACTTTACCTATTCGTCGATAGTTATTCGCCACACGAGACCCGAAATCGACGGAGATCAGAGTGAAGTAGCACCGCCAATACTTAGCCCATCACCATTAAGTTAAAGTAACGAGAAAAGTCTCTGAGATTAACGAGAATGTCACTACGGCGGCTTGAGAGGTGAGGACCTCTGGGATTCGAACCCACCGCCATTAAAGCTGCTGTGGAATATATAGCCTGTGCCTGTCCGGTCCCGGTGGAGTCAAGTCGCCCGCGTGGAGGTCGAGACATTTTTTCAGTCTAATTCTAATGAAAAAACTATTTGTTGGCATACATACGTATCTCACAATGTTCAGCAGCGCCGCAGTCAGTTTTACCTCCACTTTCATGTCGGGTTTATAGCATACCGCGCAGGGGGCAGACAGAAAGATATTAGATGAAGGAAATATCCACTGGGGCATTCACAAGGTTTTCTTTATTTTTCTTCATTAATGAGTGAGTGAGTATGATTTTACGGCGCTTTTAGCAATATTCGAGTAATGCCACGGGGGTTGGGGGACGTGACGAGCGGACGCTTTAACTGCTAGGTTACTCCACCGCACCTCTTCTTTAATAAACTACATGAGTATATCTACGTATGTACAATGGTATCATCATCAGCATCAGCAGCGGCAGCAGCAGCAGCATCAGCATCAGCAGCAGCAGTATCATTATCACCATCAACGTATTGAAGAAAACCTGACACCTTCTATGAAATACAATCTGATCAAATTGGAGTTCTGTTTTCCACTTGGCTGGTCTAGTGACTAATCTCGCATGTTTAGCCATTGTCTATACCTCTGTTACATTTGTTTAAGGTGTACAAGAAATTTAATTAAAAGAGTTTTGAGGTTTTATTCTATTTCCGTGCGTATCCGTTCCCTTTGCTTTAAAAACCATAATAAGACTCGGTATGTTTGTACTCGCTATGCATGTTTTCACCAGCAAATATCCACGGTACACGATATTAGGCTCCAACAGAGAAGAGTGTGTAGGAATTCATTCCCGGTGCTACGGTCACTTTCCTCCGAACACTCGGTACCATCGGTATCATTAAAGTGATTCATAAACACAGTGTCATCATTAAGCCGGAATCGTGCAATGGAGACGCAGAGAGTATGGATTATGGTTATGGGTTGAATAAAGAAAGGCTTTTCTCGATTTTATTCACGACGCAAGAGAGATCCATGATTACAGACATTTTCTGCTGAATCTACATATTATACTGGGATTTGATTAGATCTTAAGTAAATGCTCA